TCCGATTTATTCAAGTTGATATCCAAACCCAAAGCTGCTTGGGAACAAATGAAGTACGCATCTCAATCTTAGGATCATCCTCTCTTCCGGTTGATAGAAAATCAAAGTATCATCTGCAAAGAACAAATGAGACACTTCGACTTATTGACTTCTTCTTCCCACCCGAACCCCCAGTAGCAAATCCAGCACCTTCACTTTCTCTAACAACTTGTTTAAGGCTTCCATAACAATAATGAATAATAGTGGAGAAAGTGTATCATCTTTTCTTAAACCTCTTGACACCTTAACATTTATGCCACTCAGACCGCTCCTGCTCAAAATTAATATGTGAACTGAAATAACCTCAAATACCATTTAACATCAAGGAAGAGAGTTCTGTCTTGAGGCCCTTCATTGCCTCCAGTCCCATACTTTTTATTTCAAAAAAAAATTGCCTCCATTCCCACAAACAAACCCCACAGTGAACCCTTATCAACTCGCCTATAAAGATACGTCTAAAGATTTCGACCACTAAGTACATAGAAATGGAGAGAGTAGAGACCCTTGTCTAATATCTCAGTGACCTCTAAACCCAATATTTAGGCTCTCCATTGATATAATAAAAGGGAAGCAAAGGTAAACACCTTTAGATCCCTCCTTTCCGTATCTCTCTGAATGCCTTCCTATTCATAACCTTGCCTAGAAAACCCAGCTAACCCACTGCATGCCTGCTCAAAATCTAGCTTATGAAATAGAATAGGATAGAACATGCTTTTTAATTTAACTAAATAGGATTTTTGATCTTTTGGAGCTAAGTTTGTAACTAGTCTTTTGGCATAGCTTCTCCTTATCATATAGGTGCCATCTACTTGTCACCTTGTTGGTTTTGTTCTCTCCTTTTCACTTATTATTTATGTTTGACTCTAGCTTCCAGAAGTTGCTGGTACCTTGCAATCTATTGCCTACTTTTGCACATTGTTTCTAGTATTTTTTAAGAGAATCCCACACCATTTAGCAGTAATTTGACATATGAATGGATACTCTCTGATCAGTTAATGTTTTCTTTTGCTTCTATTGGAAAAAATTTTGGGCTTTTGGGGTCTGTATATTTGATTATGTGTTTGCTTTGGGAATCTATCAATATGCACTTTTCTTGATTTGTTCCTCAAGTATGCATGCTTTTCCTCTTTGCGTTAACAATGTAACACAATTATCCATAAATGCAGTATGGAGTATTATATGCAAAAGTCATACTACAAGACTGCATCACTGATTTCAAACAGCTGCAAGGCAATTGCACTTCTTGCTGGGCAAACAGCAGAAGTTGCAATGCTGGCTTTTGAGTACGGCAGGAATCTGGTTCGTAAATTTCTAATGTGATACTTCGTTGTAGTACTTGCTTGTATAATTAAATGTTGCAAATTTTTCGATGGATCTCCTCTGAGTTTATGCATGTTCCATTAGTCAAATCTGATAGAAGAAGGCATCATAAGGAAGGACCCTAGGAACTCCCACTTCTTTGAAGCAACTTTGATTGCTAATGAGGTCATGTACTTTTTTATTAGGGAGGCAATTACAAACTAAATTTGGAAAAGGTCTAATGACCATCTCTGTTTCGAGATTTTTATTGTATATGATGAAAAGGTTTATCTTTTTATGCTCAAGGAAAAACAGAATTTGAAAAAGGAAAGTGATATTAAGGACCA